TTTGACCCCTGTATGAGTCATGTTTCAAAAACACTGAATTCCAACAATGCAACTTCTTCATTTGAACTATGACCGACAAATTTCCACCATTGACAAATATCAAATCTTGACAGTGCTGAACTTTGAGGGGACAGAACGTATTAGCCGTGTTGCATGGACCCTCCTCTGTCAGATTAAATATGTGTAAAATCAGTAGCGTTCTGCTTTAACCCTGCTTAAAGCAGCATGCCACTGTTATTAGAGGGGATTCTTCTTCATCCGCCTGGAGCAGAGCTAATGTTTGTATCATCCCTCCTGTTAGAGTACAACTGTTTGTTTAACTGTATCACAATTTGACTGGATTAACTCCCAAATTGTCAGGCAGCCAGAGTTCACCTCTAACACATATTGGTCAGTAAACCCACAATGCACAGGGGTATGAGGGTCGACAACAAGTGTTACATGACTCTATATAGAGGTCACCAGCTGAGGTAAGTTTTTACAACCTGGTACTACTATGTTTTTTTAAATACACATTATTATCAGTCTCCATGCAAACTTGCCACCACCACTGAGCCCCGGTCAGAGGGTTTTAGAAGTCAACACATTATTTTTTTTTTAAACACCTGTCCATAGAGTAACACATGTCAATGTGTAACAATTGGCAGCTGCGATCATATTACTGAATGTCTATTACATAATCTTACAGTATGCTGTCCTACTTTTCCAGCACAGCCTGTGGTGCCCTCAGTCAAAGGAAACTACAAAGCTTTGGCAGTGCACTTGAAGAGTCTGTATGCATTTTGGAACCATTTTACTACAGCAGCAGCTCTTTCTTCAGACACAGCGTCTGCCTCCCTCTGTTGTTTCCCTGGCTCTCTGCCGACCATATACCCTTCCTTATGTCTGCAGCAGCTGAACTATGAATCATCCTCCATGACATAAGAAAACATAAGTTCAAGCTATATCTGCTGTTGTCAAGGGACATCCAACATCCACCTACTGTGTAGAATATACAGCGTCCTAGACAACGGACTGGATTTATGTTCCCTCAAATGTGCAGCAAAATATGGTAAGGTCCAGTACATCTAATATGTTTTTTTGTTCAGTGATAGAAGAGAGTTGGGGAAATGAGGAGCAACAAAGATCCATGGCCAAATACATGGATTTTGGTCCAGGTCTATGACTGATCAACAGATAGCCTGCAGCCATTTTTATTTCTTACTTGTGCCACAGACTGGCTCAGTGAAAGGAGTTCATGCAAAGTTATACTGAAGACAAACAATTCATTATAACTAAAAGGTAAGACAAATAAGCAATGGTGTGTGTTTTTTTAATCTGTCTTTTAAGATGGGAATTCTTGACTTTTGCAACACTTCTTGCAAAGTGGGAGTGACAGAGCAGACACTGTATCTATCCCGCTCTGCACTCTCACTGCCAGTTACAAGTGTAACTTTTGCAACAAATTTATCGCAAGAAGTGTTGCAAAAGTCAAACTGACGCACAGATTAATCACATTATGATGCAACAGACTCCAGATGTTATAATGACAGAGGTGTGGTTGCACTGGAAAATGGATGACAAAAAAAATAACATAAAATAAACAATTAAATAAAATTAAAGCCATGAAAGCAGCACATGAATGAGCATATGAATGAGTGACGGTTGTGTGGATGTGTAAAAGCAATAGATGATACCAAAATAAATGTCAGCTGTTGGAAGGGGAGAGCAAGTGAGCATATGGGCCAGCTTTTATAGTCTGGAAGGCCCAGGTGAACTGCATCAGCTGACTACTCTCCAATGTCAACCAATTGCCTGCTAAGGTTGACCAGGACAACTTCCAAAACAGAGGAGAGGCAACACACTTGTTTCAGTGCAATGACATTCCATGTTTTGCTTTAACAGTGAGAACAGCCACTAAGTAATATGACCCCATACACATACACTACATGTACACTGACGCAGGAAGCTATGAAGATGCATTATGTAACACAAACACACACTAATGGAAGGTGTCATTACAATCTACATTAACTGAACTGTTTCTGAACTTTCATGTCATTAAAGCTTTTCATTTCATTTCAACTACAGAATCATGAAAAGGTCAAAGGTCACCTCAGGTGTGTCTAAGCTAAACTAAGTACAGGGAGTTTGAAATCTGGGGGTATAGGACAGGTCTAATGAAAGACACCTTCAAGATGCATTATGGGAAAGGCAGGATCCAGTGTTTTTGGAGCTTGCTTTAGTAGAAATTAAAAGACAGGATATCTAAGCCTCTGCTGTGCTGATGTTTTTTTAATCTGTCTTTTAATATGGGAACTCTTGACTTTTGCAACACTTCTTGCAAAGTGGGAGTGACAGGGCATACACTGTATTTACCCCACTCTGAACTCTCACTGCCAGTTACAAGTGTAACTTTTGAAAAAAAAATGTATCGCAAGAAGTATTGTAAAAGTCAATCTGACACACAGATTCATCACTTTATGATGCAACAGACTCCAGATGTTATAATGACAGAGGTGTGGTCACACTGGAAAATGGACAACAACAAAAAAACATCAAATAAAAAAAAAATATATATACATACATACAAGTATCACAGCTTTACGGAAGTGCAATACAAAGTTGCTCAGATACCCTTTTAATTAGTCTCAGATAGGCCTGTATTTGCGTGGTCTACAAGCGTCAGCCTCTGTAGGTTGCATTCAATCCTTTTAGAACTGATTATTCTTGTATTTGCCTCCAGCAACAAAAGTTTTTATGCTAAAAAATACAGACATAATCGATTCTGGAAAATGTACTACATTTGCATTTCTTCTGCTGTTTAAGTCTGCCTGTGTGAAATATGTTTGCTGTGTGAAGCTGAGTTTACTACTGACTGCACGGTTAATCCACAAGATGGAGACATTGTAAAGTATTTGCTGTGAACAATGAAGCTTCCCCCTCACTGTTGCTCTGTCACTTCTACAGAGACACAACAACCAAATGCATTCACAAATGTGTGTAACTCACTAACACAATACCTTTGGCTAAAACTACTGGGTCAGTAAGACAAGAGCTTTTCACAGTCAGTTAGATCAGTAAAATAAGCTCCAGACAGGTAATAATACAGGTGATGGAGACTATGCTGTACAACATCTTTCCAATTCTTAAAGGAAAATATCTCTCACTGATTTTCCACAATAATAGCAAATAATAAAAAGACAGATGTATTAAACATATGTGTCAAAAGAAAGAAGATAACATTGTGGAATATAAAAAGAAATACAACCATCTGACATGAAGCCATTGTAAGTACTGTATACCCATATCAAATGTGTTTTATAACTAGTTTTAGTAAGAAACATATAATATCATTTACCTTTGAACAAAACTCACTATACATTGATTTATTTTAGAGGTTATATCAGATGAAAAATTGTTACATGACCATATTTCCTTAAGTTTGTGTATTTTTATATTTGCTGTTAAATTTGCTGAATTTCAAATAAAACACAGATTTATAAAATATATTCTACAACCATATCACTGTTATCCTCCATGCTGAACTTATTGGTGTGAAAAACACTGAATCTCCAGCAGCTCCAGGTCTGTAGGTGACCTTCACCTTTGACCTTTCTGGATGAGAGGAAAAGAAAGAGGCAAGAGAGTCTTTCCCACCAGGAATCAGAATAATGTAACATTATTATCAGTCATTTCAACAGGTGAAGCCAGAGATATTCTGCTGAACTCATGTCATTAATACTCTATAGTGGGCCAGATCTTCTTAAAGGTCACATACAATATGGGATGTTTTAGATATTAAATAAATAAAATCGGCTTTGTTTCCCTTAAAACATTAAGCTCGCATTTTGCTCCCATATCAGAGACCTTCTGATTAAATTCAACTCCGCCTAGTGAACCTACAGGCATCTACACAGTCCAAAGGTAAGGCTGTTAGTGTCTCTATAGTAGCTGTTCCTGTGTTACTGTAAAGGGGCAAAGGCAACTGAAATCAACAGAAGTGATTTATCTCTCATGGTGTGTTTTGTGGAGTCTGAGCTCTTTACCCGGAGTATTTATGAACTCGTTCAGTGATTTTAAAAAAAAAAGCATAACAGAAAAAATAAAACAGAATAATGGACCAATTAACATATCTATTTCACTGCATTTATATAATAACGATAACAAAAAAGGTTTTTTAATGGGTTTTCAAAAAGCTTTTTTTTAAAAAGATTTCACATGTTATTTCCTTTGCCAGTTTTGTCCTCCTACCATATTTTCACATATCATTTCTTTGCTGCTTTGATGCAGTTTGTTTTTTAGGATTACTTTCATCTCAAACCCCAAAATTGATTAAACATAAAACTTTATAATTTTCCCATATCCTCCAGAGAAAATGGAGGAAAAAAGATGAATTAGTTAAGATAAAGCTTTTTTTTAACCAATTAATTGGAGGCCAAAAGCTTTAGGTTTTATTCTCCATTCTAATTATTTTTCATTTTACTCTGCACTCTTTTTATTTAGTATACTAAGTATTATAAGTAAGTATCTAAATAGGCCTATTGATGTATTTGGTTATATTTGTCTTGACTTGTTTAACAACCTTGTGAGAAGAAGAAGAAGAAGAAGAAGAAGAAGAAGAAGAAGAAGAAGAAGAAGACTGGAAAATTATATTCTGCACTTTTTGTAGAAACATAAAATATACTGTAAAACATTATATATTGTTTTATAACATATAAATGTATATTCACTAATTCATTCATTCAATCGTTACTAAGGACACAGCTAATATATAAATTAAACATATTCAATATTTGTATTGCTATTATTTCATTATTATCTATATATTTTAAAATATAAAACATGCAGAATAATTCTCTCTGACCAGTTACCTTGCCGTGACTTTTTCACCTGTGCTCGTCTCTACTGGCAACGATATTAGACTCTGTGACTTTAAGAGACCAGGGCGCAGCGTGCGTTGTGACACGGGGTGTGGCTCCGTCTACAGGCTGCAATAAATACTCCTTGTATAGTTCCTGGATGAATTAGTGTTGTGATCACACAGTATCCGACCGCACCATGTCTGCTGAATGGAGGACGAGATGTGAGGCTGAGTGGACTCTGCACGGCGCCCCGATGCCCGACAGCCTGGACTGGAAGTGCGTCTACGAAGCAAAGCCGTTCGGGAGAAATTTACTGAAGAACCCTGCGCCTCACGGTAACACAACTGTTTTGGTGAAATGACTCATGTGTTGTTAAGTGCTGATCCAGACGGCAGTGTTGATCCAGAGGTGGGTTCAGAGTTCAGTAAGACTGATCTACAGTTACATGTACAACACATGTATTTCAGCCTATTTACTACAGCGGCCTAACGTAGCTACGGGTGTTTTAAAGTAGTTTCACCGGTTTCCAACTGTTCCTGAACTCTCTGTCACGAAGTTGTGTTTTGACCCAATGGTAAACACGAAGTAGTTTAAACTGAGCCTGAAGTGGTTTCATCCCGATGGCCATTACTGTTCATTTTGGTTGGTTTTGCTGAGGTTTTGGGATCTTTAGCTCAGTGGAAAATATTCCAAGATTCAAAATGTCTACAATGAGAAGTGAAATAGGAAGAAAGCGACTGTGATGATGATCATAAAAGGCTTTAAGAGGGAATGGACCAATTATAAGAAAGGGAGGTGATCGTTAAAGCTTTACTCTGTTAAATCTCTTAATGAGGTTTTAATCACAGGTGTATTTATTAATATAGAACATACTTATCCAGTCCAGTTTTCAAACAGTTGTTTTTAAAAAAAAAAACTCCATTCACATTACATTAAGCACTAAACTATTGTTTATTGCCAAGGAAACAATAAATCAAACAAGGTCACTGGATTGTAACAGTGTCACTTTTTAAACTAAAATAATCACTTGTGATCAGCTGTAATCACTGTATGTCTCAAACTGCAGATTTTAGATTTATGAGCTGCTGACTAATACAAGTGTGTGTTTTTCACACAGAGACACACCCAGTGACCCTATTTGTGAGAAAGACAGATTCTTTGGCTTTGTGATTCACAGTGACTTCTGTAGGTGTGGCACCTTTTTACAACTGTCCCTCTGTCTTATTCCTGACAGGCCTGAGTAAGGACACCCCTCCACCTGAACCTGAGCTGCCTGAAGTGCCAACACGTGGACCTCCACGTTTTCAACCTGATGGTGAGAGACATTGATCAGCATGTTTGTCAGAAAATGAAAACAAAGAAATGAATGAAGTAATCTAAGAAGCTAATCTTAATTCACAGGTGACTTCAGTGGCTGGACCACGAGCGTAGAGGTTCTCCCCTATGACACGACTGGCATCCCAGCCGGTGCTGTGATCTGTGAATTGCCTCAATACAGGTGGGTGCCGCTCAGGGTCAGGTGTTTTTACAGGCAGTGAGCGTATACTTCCACTTACAATCGGACAGGTAAAAACTGGCACATCTAAGACCAGGATATGATTTTAAAAACGGTTTGTCTCAAATGATGAACATGTGGTGAATGTGACTCTGCTTTGTTGTCCCCAGCTGGTTCTCCATGGAGCAGGTCGTGGACCTGAAGGCAGAGGGACTGTGGGAAAAGCTGCTGGATGAATTTCAGCCTGAAATAGTCATCCAAGACTGGTGGGTTAATGAGCACCCCCACCCACCTCCCACATCCATGCCCTTATAACACACCATGCATGATTACTTATCACTGGGACCTTATCAGCATGGCTGGTACACATATAGATGACACAACGTGCAGCGCAAGTTTCACAGTCTGTGCATTTGTACATGCGTCATGTAGGTTTGCATTGTAAACGGAATAGTTTGGGTGAGACTCTGGTTTTCAGCTTGTGTCTTTGTAAATATAATATCCAGAAAATAGTGTTAGGATTTGAAATTGCTTGTAGAAAAAAGACCTGCCTTTGACTTATTTTAGCTTTTTTAGCTTAGCATTGAAGTGCAAATCCCCTTTGACAGCACCTTAAGAGAATTAACCAAGTTTTCATAATCAGTGAATGGGTCTAGAAACATTCAGTTTGTAGGTGTAAGTGAAATCCAACATAAGTAGATAGAATTATAACTATATATGACTGCCTTCTGTGGGAACAAACCAGTACAGGTATTGGTTTCTACTGGTTGTTTAAAAATATAAAGGGTTTTAAAGTTTGACTTGTATGTGCATTGTTGCATAGCTTTTTTTGGACAGTCACAAAAAAACTGCTAGGTTTGTAGGTGGGACCAAGAATCAAAGGCTTACTTCATTGATAAATTATAAATTATATATACTGTATATATATATATGTGTATATATATCCATTCAGTTTTTGGTAGGGCTTTATTGTACAGATACAGCCACAAAGGTTAATGACAAGTTAATAATAGGTGAATATAAACATATATATTAATTTATTATTATTGAACTGTGTAAGGTCTGTAGAGACAAGTTAACATGTCTGCATGTTCAGATGATCTGCTGTGCTCTGACTGAAAGACTCTGAACTGAAGTTACACCAACAAATAACTGGAATGAGTCATTTAACACTGGCTGTTTCCCCTAAAATTAATACCAAACTACACACTTCTTTCAGGATGCTTTAAGTTATTAGAGCTGAAACAAATAGTCCGTTAATCAAGTAGTTTGACATAAGAATGAATGGAAATGTCATTTTTCAAATTTCAAATACAAATTGTGAAAAAAAAGATTCTCCAATATGAGGATTTTCTGATTTTGTCTGTTCAAAGTCGTCGTAAACTGAAAAAAAAAGGGTTTTGGGCTTTCAAGATATCACTGTGACTTTTACTAATTTTTGATATTTCATACACTAAATGATTAATTGATTAACTGAAAAAAATGATTGCCAGATTAATTGATTATAAAAATGACATGAATTAGTTGCAGCCCCAGAAGTTATTAGGGACTAAACTTGTAGTTACTCATTTGTAAAATAAACTGTCAGCCATGTTTTAATAGTTATTTTATTCTAGGTTCAGCAGCATTCAATGTGCTGCCATCTGTCAACTTGTGAACACTGTTGTGAACAAAATTGATGAACTACATTTCACACAATTGTGATTTCTCTATAAACTGTGTCAGGTATGAGGAGAGTCAGGTACATGAATCCATCTACCAGCTGCATGTAAAGTTACTGGCTGCGGACAAAAGCACGGTGATCTCCGAGCACACTGTCAGCCCCACTGAGGACCTCAGCACTTACTCACACACCTGGAAAGAGGTGAGTGACTCAGTCCCCTCACAGGTACGGTCGTCTGCTTGTATTCAAATTGTTCACTGCATGTCTCTGTGTGACGGCCTGCAGGTGGCACATGTGTTCTCCGGCTACGGACCTGGGGTGAGATACGTCCACTTCCTGCACCGCCTGAAGAACAAGTTCATGATGGAATTCTACCCCACACTGTTCACTGGCAGCTCAGTGATTGTCAGACCAGTCAACACCAGCTCCTAGGATAAAACCTACTGAAAACAATGCAGCCATAACTGCTAGCACTATCAGTCTAGATAACCTGATCAACAAATAATTCCTTTTATACTCTTTTTAGCTTTGATTTGAATGCACTTTCTTTACTTTACTTTCTTATGCTGATTTAATGATGATTTAAGAGTGGTTTACATTTTTTTATGTTGTATTTGCTATGAGCGGGCAAAGAATCCAGGTTCATAGAGATTATATACTGGTGTTTAATTATGCTAATGTGCCTTTAACCAAAGTCTGACTCTGGATGTCTTAAATGTGCTATATAAAAAACTGTTTTCTTAATTCAGAGTTGATTATTTCTTTTAAGATGCAAAAGCTGTGTCTGAAAAGCACTGGAATTGTACATTTATATACAGCACATACACACTATCTATGCAATAACAGAGCATTGATCAGTATCTATTTAATCACAAGAGTATTTTTCAGTATAGTTTATCTAATGTAAATAGCAGGTTCTTGACTGAATATTACGATAGGTTCTCAGTACACAAGTCTACTTTTTTTTTTTTTTAATGACTTAAATTTGTATTACTTTTCATAATTACAAATTACAAATACACAACAGTCTCCAGCCAGCATTAAACAGAGAAGAAAAGAAAGACAAGCAACAAATATATCAACTACTCACAAACAGTCAAACAAAAGAAAGAAAAATGATAATAAATAAAAGAATAGAATAGTGTCCAGTAAACCTGTCTAATGTCCACAGTACCAGTCTCATGAAGAATCATAATCCTTGTCGAATAGATATTAAAAGTAGTAACCATGTGTTCTTTTCTGGTGAGAGACCTGTTTAGCAATACCAATAATTATATCCCAATCACGGTCTTGAAAACAATTGCCAAAATCCTTTTCCCACATTGTTTTCAAGGCTGTAGTGGTCTTGTAGCCTGAATTGTTTATAATCATAGGATAATAAATCTACTTATTTTGTAAAATAAAAACATTATGAGGAGCGAGGTTTAGTTCCATTCTCCCTTGTAAAATAATCTTATTTGACGAAAAAAATAGGTGAAAGTTATGTAGTCTGCAGCAGGCTTTTCCATGGATTACTTTCGTCTAAATTTTTCAGATTTGGTCGCTTGTTAGAAAGTGGAATATCCATAATAATTTATTAATTAAAATACAATTACCAACACTTGCACAATTCTCAACTAGATAAGATGAACACCAGCGAATGGGATTTTTCACAACCCAGCAAACCAAAATATGTCTTACTAATGGCTTAAAATACTACACCATTAATAAAGCAATTATATTATTATTTAGTGTGTAAAGTGTGTCTTATTAGAAAGTGGTACCACATTTACAAAGTATTAGAGAGAAAATGTTTTGGCAAAATATGTGAGATGGAAAAAAGATATTTGTTATCCTACTATTTCGGCCACATCCCACACATTTAAACAATCATATCATATCACGCTGTAGCCAACCACCAGTCAAAATACTACAAAGAATACAGCAGTGAGTCCTGCAACTGATGGTCTGGCCCCCACAGAGCACTGATCCTGACGTCATGGAGTCATGTGAGATTACATGAAGAAATAGAGACTCTGAGACAGTCTGATTCCACAGAAGAACAGTGGCAGGTCCTCCAAAGATACTGGAACAACCTACCTACCATGTACCTGAAAAACTGTGCAGGTGTACTGAGGAGAACTGGACCTGTTTTAAAAGCAAAGGGGGGTCATAACAACTACCGGTTTAGGTTTTTCTGTTTACTGCACTTTGTATGAAGGTAACTGATACATAAAAACTATTCATGACATTCATTTTGACAGCATCCTCAGTTTAATTTTGGTGCCTAAAACTGAAGCCAAAACTGAGCATTATAACCGTCATGGAGGGAGGATTTATTGCAGAACTGTTGTGTTAGACCACACTGGGTGGACCTAATAAACTGAGTGTATATAAGTTCATAGGTCAAAATCATAGTTAATGCGCTAACCCTATATCCTTTTCCGTTTCCTTAGATACCTGGTACTTCCTTAGAAATGTTGTATTTGCATGTTTACTACAAACAGCTCTGTACTTTACTCAGGGCTGGATTAATAAATAATAATCACCTCTGGAAGATCAATATCAACTCTGATGGATCCTCCATCCTCCATCTTGTGGTACCAGAGACCAGTTTTAAGACCTTAACTGTTATAGTTTGTATTATGATCATTCAGTTTGATGCTGTAAGTACTGTAAGGCTTCAACCAACAATTATTTTCATTATCAATATGTCTGACAATTATTTTCTTTAATTGATTGTTTAGTCTATCAAATGTTAGAAAATAATAAAAGAAAATGCTGATTATTATTCCCTGAAGACCACGTGAACATATTCAAATTGCTTTTACTGTCTGACCACCAGTAAAAATACACAGTCATTGAGTCATTGAGTACCAGTGAATTTCTTGCTCAAAAAATGTATTTAATAGATGATTAATAAATTACCAAAATTGTTGCACATTAATTTTTTGTCAGTCAACTTATCAATCAATCAACTAATCATTTCAGCTTTAAAACACTGCTTAGTTTCTGGGTGCAGAGGGGGTCAACAGGGGGCCCAATAACAAGTTTTTGCCCCTAGAAGCCCGCGACAGTTAATCCAGCCATGGCTTTACTGCCTAGTCCTCGACCGATGTTCAGTTTTGACATCTTGTTTTTTTCCTGCAGAATATTAACTTAAAAACGAAATTCTCTATGTCTTTTTCAGCCCTGAAGAATGTTTGCAGTTATTCCTCAGGGTTCATAGCCTACCCACAGAGAGGGCAGTCTGTCTTTGGCCTGAGAGACTAAAACATTAAGATAAGAATTTTTATCAACTCTGATCACATATGTTAATTTATGGAAGTTTTACTGTAAATTTCATTCTGAAACTACAATTTCCAGCCCCAGAGAAAACTACGCTCTTTGGGAGCGGCTACACGCTCGCTGCCCACTGACCAAAGGAGACTAACTGCGGCAGCTGCTTTGCAGTTGCGCACTTTAACCTGCTGCTGCTGCTGCTTTCAAGTGCTCTCGAAAACAGTTCGGACGAAATGTCTCATGCGTAAAACACAAAATAAGCACTTGTACCTGCAGCTTGTTGCCGGACCAAAAACATAATGTACAGAACCAAAAACATAATGTACAGTGACTACTACAGACACAATTTTGTCCTTATTTTCCCACCATAAATACTTAAATCAGTATCAACCTCACAGCCTTACAACCTCACAGTATCTGAAGCATGAACTTGGGAGGAGACCATAAAGGCAGCGCGTCATCCCCCCCACGTGAGCTCGCAGCATCACCATCGTTTGTTAACGGCAATGTGAGTTAACGGGAAAGTTCACTCTGTGAGTTCAGCCGTGTGTCGAGACGGGGATAGTTTTACCGGGCGTGTGTTTTCCAGACGTTCAGAGGCGATGCCAGCCTGTGGTGGAGCTGTGCCATAAAGCAGAAGGTAAGACACGAAGGTGCACAGGAACAAAGTACGTATATAAAGTAGGTGTAAGTAAACTGGTGTTTGGGGAGGCTGCTAAGTGACACATCTGTGCTTTTGATTGATAAAATTCTGATATGAAATATATACACGACCACCACTCGCATAGAAATAGAGTCACATTTGGTCAGGACCCTCCAGATTGTCACAGTGAGTCCTGCATAGGAGGAGAGTTCCAGGTATAATTCAGCAAAGAGATGTGTGTGTGGTAAGAGGTAACTCATGAGGTCAAGAAAACAAGTGACCAAAATAGAAAATAAGTGTGATAAAGGAAAGTCTGATCTTTTAGTATAAACCTATTCATTCTGCTACAGTTGGCTGAGATATGGCCAAAATATATACTATATATTTTCAATTGGTAAAAATGTCTCATATGAATCACGTTTGGTTGATGCTTGAAAAACACAGGTGAAGCTGCACCACACCTGTAATTTAACAACACTCTGCTTGGTTTTTTTTTGTCTGACAGCATCGTTTTCTGCCAGTTTCTTCTGATTGAATGTAGAAATTAAAAACTGTGTTACCACCAATAAGTTAAAGAGAGCGTACTGCTGTGTGTTCCTGATGGTCCCATTGATTCTATTCTGAAAGATCATTTTCTTTACTTCACAGCTGACATTTTAACTCACATAAAAGTATCATCCATTTAGCAAATTGGCAACATCACATACAGTATCCCCCACCTGCCCAGCTCTTGTGTCTGTGACAGTGCCGGCAGCTGTGTGAAGAGTTGATGATGTGTGAGACGGGAGGTGCTGACTGCAGATACACCCCCAGTGCCAGTCCGTTATATTTAATTATGTACATCATATTGTTTGTATCATTTTTCACATAAGCATCCCAAAAAGCACTATGCTCACTTTTTTTTTTTTTTTAACTCATGCATGTCTTTTTTTCTTTATGGCACACAATGATCCTCATGTTTTATCAATATACTCCTGACATCTAGTCATAATATCTATAGTAAGAATGACAGTGAACCGAACAGGTAACAACCCAAAAAACAGACTGTATTTACTATATTTGAAAAAATTAGGCAAAATCAATAGACTGTGGATGTTTAAACAAATTAAATGTATTTTTTATACTAATGCAAAATGTAGTTTATTAGTAGGTTATATGTAGATTTGCACATAGAACCGAAATTGTTAGTGGAATGATTGATAAGTTTCACACTTAATCTGCAACTATTCGGATAAATAATTTGTTTCTAGTCACTTTTCAAGCAAAAATTACAAATATTTGCTGATACCAGCTTCTTTAATAAGAATGTTTTGTCTTTTATGGTTCTGGACTGTTGACATTGTTGTGTATGTGTCTTGAAGCTTTTGGAAATTGTGATGTGAATTTTTCACTTTTTTTTTGTCATTTTATTGGAGGAAAAACAATGAATTAAGAACATAATCAGCCCTATTTATAAGTTGTTTGCAGTGTAAAGTTTGTGTCTTTGGTCTTGTCTTTAGTATGTGTTGTTCATAAGCTAAATCCAAGTGGTCCACCACCAACGTTCACTGACACTTACCCTGAAATGCAACCTCCTCCCCACGTATGTGACGGCACAAGTAAACCAATGCTGCGGTATTGTCTGCAGGCACCGATGTGCTCGCCAACTGCAGGTGCCACAGGACAAAGGGCCATACTACACCTCACGTTTCTCTCTCATTTCCCTTACAATCAATCAGTAAAACTGTACAGTCGATCAGACTCCCCCCTTGAAACCTTTTCATCCTCTTGATTTAGGGAAGTCAGCAGCTAACGGATGGGCCCCCTTTACCCTGGGTGAATTAGATTACTGTACCTTTTTTTGTTACTGACGTGTAATGCTACTATAATGTACTCATGAAGGCCAAAATCCCGTCCCACATACCGGAGGATCAGAGTCAGATGTAGTTCTGTGTGTCACAGCTGTCAGTCACGGTGTTGTTTCATTTCTTTCAATCATTATATCTTTAGCAGTGCACATGCTGCAATGGATAGTATTTACCAGTCTCTCTGTGAATCTTTGTGTGTGTGTGAGTGTGTGTGTGTGTGTGTGTGTATGTGTGTGTGTGTGTGTGTGTGCGTGTGTGTATAATGGAGAGGAGAGTCAGTGCCTGTGGGGGTCTGTTTTGTTTTCATTGACTCTCTGTTCTATTGTGTGTTCAGGCCTGCTGGCTGCCTCTGCACATTTTGTTAACATTTTGTTGGTCTGAACTAGACTGTTGCTCTGAATTCAAGCGGTCATGGCAAAGACTAAAACGCACCACTGTTCGTCTGCATCTGAGGTGTTACAAAATGTTTGAAGTGGAAATATTACTTAGTGGTTTGTTGACTTTTCCTTATTCTTTAGGTTGCCTCACCATGTGATTTAGCTCAGTTCATGAACATTATATGCAGTATGTCAACTTTGGCTGGGTAATGAGTAGAGGTTTCTCCTTAATGTGTCACATCGGAAAAAAAAACTCCGTCTCAAAGATTAGAGATTAGGGGTTAAGTAGTGACAATCTGGCTGTCGTGTTGTTGCTGCAAAGTGCAAGTAGTGTTTGTGCATATGATCAGTGGTGGACAGTGAGTACTTATACTCAAGTACTGAGGTTAAGTACAATTTTCAGGTACTTGTATGAGTATAGCATTTTCCCCTATGTTATTGTTCTCACATGGTTTCTGCTTTCTGTTAGAATTATTCAGTATTTCACAGATAAAATCAAAGACTAGAAAAAAAATGTGTGCAGCAAAACCTATTTCCTACCCCATTAATCATGTCACATCCCTCCAGATTTATCCTATGACCCTTTGGAGAGGCCTGACCCCCTGGTAGGGAACTAAACTGACTAACTGTATATAAAATATAAAATGTTGTATTGCTTCATTTGAAAAGACTGATATTAAGAGACTGTGCTCTGGAAAATTGAACATAATGGAAACAACTTAACTGGATAAGTCTTATACAAAGCCTGGTTTGCTTTGCCTATGCTCTGTCTTTAGAACCTCTGTGGGTAAAACTCTTCAAAATGTTGTATTAAAACCGACATTAATCACCTATCAACACTTCTGGTTTACATGCACATAAAAAAAGTCATTTTAAAAAAGTTTTACAATTTAAATAAGTGACAGATACTCCTATTTAATTCATCAAATCAGCAATATTCAATAGAATAAAAATCAAATCAATAGAGTATTAGAACCAAAATTTTAGTTGAAGACTTTGGGAGAGTGGGTTGTTTTTCCCTGGAGACAGATTAGAGCTGCTGTTGATCTAAATCAGTAATTTTCATTGTAAGATCTGACCACATGCAGCCCTGTGGATTCACTTCACTTCACATGTGTTATCATATATACACCCGTTAACCTGTAGTTAAGACTATAGCTCCACTTTGAGCAGCTACAACAGAAAAATGCTGCTGAAGCATTGATGCATCAATATTAACAGTATAATGTCATATAATTAATATATCAGTCACAGGGGACATTTTGCGTCTGCTTTGATACTTTACGTACATTTTGATAATACTTTTACTTCGCTAGGATTTTGAATGCCGCATGTGTTGGTATATTCTGTCTGCTATTGATGTTTCTGACAGTATCTTGAATATTGCATAACAGGTGTCCCTGTCTGGGTTCATACTGAAGCTGAGAATGCTGTTCCTTCTAAGGTGACAGGGCAGTCAGTGGCTGAGCAGGGTATCTCAGGTAATGGAAACCTCAGGAGCTACTGTCTGCTGGCTGTCAGTCGTACGTCTGACGCCCCCCTTTCTGTCCACTTCACCTCCGGGCCCCATGCAGCCTCTCTCCGTCCACCTGCCCCCTCCTTTACAGTGAACCTACCTGAGGCCCACATGCAGAAATCTTAGGAAAAGGGAGCGTGTAATGTTTTTAGCAGAGGCAGGATGAGTCGAGGGGGAGAAACGAGAGACGAGAACGGCTTAGAGACGTCAGATGGATTGTTTCCCCTCAGTCAAACTGAAGATGCTGAACTTCCTAATCACCCTTTGAGATCTCATAGGGCTCTGAAATGTCACAGGATCTAATTCATGCTTAACCTGAATTTACCCTTAGATGTGTGGAGTACAGTTGGGTGACATGACAACATGTGCAAAAGTGTTAGACCCTAAGAGTAAAGTGAGGATGTTTTGAAAAATAATGTGACTCTGACGCTTTGTCTGTGGGCGGATCAGACACCTCCCTGATGGTCCTGATGATGGATAAGAATCTAAACATTTCAAGTGTCTAAAACATTTGCACAGTACTGTACCATGAATTTGTCACCTGTCAGAGATCTGCAGATCATTTTTCAATTAATTGTTTGTTCTAATCTGAACAGAAGTAGCACATCCTGCCCTTTGAGAAGCTGGATCCTGAGAATGTCACAATTTTTGTTTGAAAAATGGAAAAAAAAAAAAAAAATTCTGTCAGTTTGCCAATTAATCAACTAATAATTTCAGCTGTAATGAAGAAACTGGCCTGTTTAGCTTCAGTTTAGTTTATTTGCACAGAAGTTAAAATAGTACACAGGAAAAAAAAAGATATATTAATTGTGCAGGAGAGGAAGGAAGCCCAGAGAGAAAAGAAAATATATATAAAATAAAATAATAATAAATCAAGACAGGCAGTTGTGCGTTAAATGATGTCAGTGCTAATAGTCTATAAGCAGGAAATGTTCTTTCATCCACAGAAAATCATCCTGAAACTGTCACACTCATATTTTTCAGTTTTTGACATCACATGTTTTTGCCTTTTGGAGAGTGTACTAAGTTCTGTAACTAAGAGACACGGTATTCCATAAATAGAAATTTTATTTCCAAAATAAAAGTCACTAAGAAATTCTTATAGGATCATTTTAGTAAGAGAACCAGAAAATTCTGCTCACTGTCAATCACTTTTATTCATTTTATTCATCAGGTAAAATCCTGTGCAAAAACCTTGTATAGCGATTGTTACCTGCTAAGATCTTTCTTGTAGACATTGAAAATTCACCATTAGAC